GGAGAGGCAGGCCTCTGTGTCCCACACTGACCAGTCTCTGGGTGAGGGCCACACCCAGAAGGAATGTCACCTTGTCCTCTGAGGCCATCCCTGAAGGGCGCTCTCAGCTGAAGGCTGTCTGCCCACAGCACTCCCAGTAGCAGGGAGTTCTGAGCATCCATCGCCAGAGGAAGTCTCTTTGTCCTCGTGGGGCTGACACTGGAGCGGGGCGGGGGGAACAAGTGATAAATGAATAAACAAGTAAACAAGCAAGATCACTTACAAGTGCAGAGAAGACATAACAAGGTATGCATTTTCCAGGCAGGGATGCTGCGATGCCGAGGGACTAATGACTGAGAGCCCTGCCTCCAACCCAGGTCTCTCTGGCCCCGAAATTCACCTTCTCTATGTCTCATGAGGCCTGTGCTAGTCGGTAGAGCCTCAACAGTCAAGCTAAGGAGATGGGACTTGATCCTGTAGACAACGTGGAGGCTTTGGAGGGACACAGTGGAATACATTTCTAGGAAGTTCCACTGGTGCAGGCATGCAGAACGGACTATAACCTCAAAGAGACGAGAACCCGGGTCTTTGTTAAGAGGCAGCCTCAGTGATCTGGGTCTTCAGTGACGTGCACTTGCTCTGGGAACCGGTGGTGCCTTTTAGGATGCCTTCGGCTGCAAGTAACAGAAACTGCTCCCCTCTGACGGTGGCTTAGCTGATGCGCCCACAGAAGTGGAAGGTCACTGGGAGGCAGGCCCTGGGTTTTCAGTTCAGTCAGTTACTCAGGAGGTCATTAAAGGAGCCAGGCTTGTTTTGCTCTGCCTTCCTAAGCCTGTGTCCTCTTTGGGTCCTAACATGCCTGCTGGTAGCGATTGTGGCTACATGTGTTTTTTTGCTGGCACTCAGTAGAAAAGCTAAAATCTTCCCCTGGACCATATAAGTCCTTCTCTTCCATCCACTTAAGTCACCTACGCGCCCATGGACTGACAACACATACCAGATCCTGCCATCTCGAGTTGGGATGGGGTCAGCTTCCGTCGAAGAACTCTCCTAGAGGAATGAATTCCAGGGCAAATTGACGGCTTTCTTGGAAGCAGGAAGGCCAAGAATGGGTGTGTGCGGGGAGTGGGGGACAAGCTCGCTTGCTACAGAGAACAAAGGACTGTGCGGTCTGAAGGCAGGACGCAGTGACAGATTGGATTGAGGAGGAGGGATAAAAAGAAGTGTTGAAGACAACTCCCAGGCTTCCAGTCAACAAGCCCAGGAAGATATTATCCCACTGACCAAAATCGAGGGGCGTGGGAAAGTTCAGGAGTTCCTTTGGATAATTGAGGTTCACGTGATGAGGGGACTTCTAGACCACACTGTTTTGCAACAGCGAAGAATACAGGTCTTTGAGCTCGGGTTCAAGATCATGCAGGATCGAGCACAGGAGGGAGGCCTGAGGGATGGTGACATGGCCGCTGGTCACCAGGAAGTAAGGGACATGTGGGGAGGTAGCTGGGACAGGGGCAGGGGCCAGGAAGGCAGGGCTGGAGGGGATTGTGAAGGCAGGACTGTCCCCAGCGAGCTGCTGCTAGGTTGGGGTCCCTGCCTGTGTGCGTAGTGACAGGGCACAAGGAAGTTCAGTACATCATTGTTTGAAATGATAAGAGACTAGAGGCGATCTACACGCCCATCCCTAAAGAGCTGGCTGAATTAATTTTGGTACCTCCGGCGTATGGAATCCTAAGCTGTGCAAAAATGGGGTGGAGAGCACGTGGGCTGGGATGGACAGATCTCTCAGACACAGCACTGAGCGAAAAAGCAAGACGCAAACGTGTGTATCGTACAGTCCCATTTGTGTTAACAGAGAACATACAGTATCCAGGCGTGTGCTCGTATAGCCATAGCATAGACGATTTCTGGAAGGTATCAGAAGACATTTTTCATAGCAGTTGCCTCTGGGTGGGGTTCTGGGAGCCTGGGAGACTGATTCTCTCCACCTGACCTTGCTGGCTGTTAGAATTTCTTCAACCATGTGTATTTATTACCTGTTGTAAAAACTAGATCATACAAATAAATACATAAGGAACAGAGCCTTGGGTGTCAGAGGTGTTGGTGAGTGGGAGGACTGAGGAAGCCACTGGGGCATGTCGGAGAGTCTGGAGTCAGCAGTGAGGGAACGGATGTCAGGGGCAGGAGCCACAGGGGAAACTGAGGAAGCGACCGCTCACGTGAGAGAATTGTGGAGACTAGGAGGTGGCAGTAGCTGGTTTGGTTCATAGAGCACCACTGTGGAAATCACAGGATGCTACCGAAGGTCCCAGTGAGCTCTGCACAGAAAGTTCTGCACAGGGTCTGCTGCGGTTTTGGATCGGGTCGCCTTTCTTTAATCACCAGAGCTGGAGGGAGATCTGTCCGATCTCTGGAATGGCCTCAAGACTTTTGCTGTCTGTTAAGCGAGCCGGCACAAGCAAAGACAGCCCTCAGAGGGTGATTCCTGTCAATCTGGGCCCAGAAGCTGAGAGAAAGAAAGGGCTGTAGGGTGAGGAGAAGGAGCCTGAGAAGACATTTCTGATCCAAGCCTCCCTCAGCGACCACTGGCTTCGAGGGCTCCTGCCCTGCATGGGGCAGGAGGAAGGCTGGTCCCTGCAGCTCTCTCAGCCTCCCGAGTAGCTGGGACTACAGGCGCACACCTCCACACCCAGCTAATTTTTCATTTTTTGTAGACATGGGGTCTCACTATGTTGCTCAGGCTGGTCTTGAACCGACCTCAATCGATCCTCCCACCTCAGCCTGCCAAAGTGCTAGGATTACAGGTGTGAGCCACTGTGCCCGGCCAGAAGTTCTATATCTTGATTATAGTGCCGGCAACATGTATGTAAATTCCAGAGACTCTGCACTGATACTTTGCCCCTCTGGGCCTCAGTTTCCCTCTTTGTCAAAGTAGGTGGTTGTTGGATTAGGTAATGTCTAGAATTTCTCTGCAGCTAGTCCCGCTGTGAGGCTGAGGGAGCTGGAAGGGAGAGCTGGATGCCTCAGCTGGGCGGGAGCAGAGAGCAGGGCTCCCGTTTTCAATACAGAAATGTAATGTGATGCTCTGGGCAGACAGGGAGAGTGTCTTGGTCCTTTCAGGCTGCTATAACAAATTCCATAGCCTGGGTGACTTTTAAACAACAGAAACATATTTCTCACAGTTCTAGAGGCTGGGAAGTCCAAAATCAAGGTGCTGGGAGATTCGATGTCTGGTGATGGCTAACTCCCTGGTTTATAGAGGGCACCTTTTGCTGTGTCTTCACATGGTGGAAGGGGCAATGTAGCTCTCTGAGGTCCCTTTTATAAGGGCACTAATCCCATTTATCAGGGCTCCACCCTTAGGACCTAATCACCTCCCAAAGACCTCACCTCCTAATACCATCACACTGGGAGCCCTCATGGTCCTCCCTCCGCACCATCCATTCTCACCCTTCCTGTTTCCAAGAGAGCCGTGAATTTTCCCTTAAATTCATTCCTCCAGGCAAACTTTTTAAGGGAAGATGACCCCATCCCAACTTGAGATGGTGGATTCTGGTACATGTTGTTAGTCCCGGGGTAAGTATGTGACTTAACTCGATAGAAGAGAAGGACTTATATGGTCGAGGAGAACGTTTTAGCTTTTCTACTGAGTGCTAGCACAGAAAGCATATAACCTCGATGGCTGCCGGTAGGCATCTTAGGAGCAAAAGGGGATGCAGCCTTAGGATGGCAGAGTAAAACATACAGGATTTCAACATATAGGTTTTTGGGGAGACACAAACATTCAGACATAGCAGAGAGTATTTACCAAAATCATAATCATAATAAAATAACAAAGAATCCTAAATTCTTCAGGCTGGGTAGAACCTAGAGATAGTTTTCACATTGTTTTATGAATGGTGTCCTTCAATATCATGTAAGTCGCCTCACCGAAAAAGGATTGTGGTTAACAAAACTACATACTGGGGGCCCCTCTTAGAAAGTCTCCATGTATGTAAGGATATTAAAGGCACTGAAAAGTCCTACAGTAAGCAAACCTGTCTACCTTTGTTCAACCAGCTTTCTCCAAATGCATGTAGTCACAGAAGCCTCCCTGCCCCTTGTCTAGTTTAGCACCTAGCAGTTACCTACAGCCCATGCTTTGGGAAGTGTTGTTTTAATGTAAGCTTGTTTTTTATAGATGAGATAGCTAAGGCTCAAAGGGGGAAGTGACTTTCCGAGGCCAATCAGGCAGTTGGTAACACTGCAGAAGTGAGAGCCTAGATCTCTTGCCAGAGGCCTTTCTGCTAATCCTGTTCCCTTGCTGTAGCAGACACCTTGACAGTGTGGACCTGCCACCAGGTCAGGATCCAGGCAGTGACAGGACGAGGTTAGACAGGCCAGGGACCAGCACAGGGGAGGGCGGAACTGAAATGTGGTGTTAACCCGAGGGTTAGGGTGTCTGTGACAACCAGGCCCTGAAAGCCAGGAAGTTGTCTGAGTAGGTGCCACCTGCTGATTGGTAGTCAAGGAAGACAAGCCTTCGGGAAGCAGGAGGGCACTGGCTTGCTAGTGGAAGGTGTTTCCTGGATCACCTGAGAGTTATCCTTTACTCTCATGAGCCATTGAGAGGCTAGATCATTGTTTCCCAAACCATGTTCTATGGAACCCCACTCTCATCAGAGTATTGAGCAAGGAACTCTGGTCATACCAGCTCAGGACACACAGAATTAAAGAAAGATTCTGTGGGGCTTTCCAGAATCTTTAATATGCTGTTGTCACAGTGAGTCACCAAGGTAGGGAAATGATGTGTAGGATCCTCCAGACTATATGACCAGGGCATCCCATTTGCAGGGAACCTCTCTGTGGCCGTGTTTCATGGACACAAGTTGAGGAATTCAGGCCCAGGTCAGGGAGGCTGATGGTGATTTCTGCACCCCTCCCACTGCACCACAAACATTCCTGACCTTTCTGTGTTGAAAAGAAATTGGTAAATGCAACCAGCAAACTGCTCCTCCTCTGACATTTGTTCTTCCACATTCCAGAGCAAGGAGATTGGCCTGCAGATGCACGAGGAGCTCCTGAAGGTGACCAATGAGCTCTACACCGTAAGTTCTGCACAGGGTCACTGCGGTCTGGGGGCTGGAGGGAGGCGAAGCAGAGGTCTGGGATGCCCCGGAGCCTTTTTGCTGTGTCTTGCGCCCTGTGACAGTGGCTCACCCTGTTGGGATGTGATGACTCACAGCCCCAGCTTCCGAGTCTTTACAGCTGGGGTGGGGCCTGGGCATGACTAGTTTGTAAAAAGTTCACGAGAGATTCAGACGACCTGTAGCTGACGGATGTGAAACCCACGAAAGCAAAGGACACACAGTGGAGGTGGGGAGAGCGTGGGTGTGTGCAGCCTCCTGAGCGCAGGAATGTGGGTTTTGGAGGCAGGTGGCACAGGCTTGAGTCGTGGCTGCCCTTTAACCACTGTGGGACCTTAGGCAGCCATGCAGCTCGTCTGGGTCTCCGCATCCTCATCTGCAAAGTGGAGCGCTGTTCCCAGGATCAGGTGAGGAGACGGGGCAAGCCCACCTTGCCATCTCCAAGGTGTAGTTTCAGAACATCACAGCTTGGCCCAGAGCTGACCTTGCTATTTGCTTGGAGTCAAGACCTAACTACACTTGAGATGGGTGTTAGAATCTGAGAAGGCCAGCGAACGAGGAGCGCACACGTGTGTACACACACACACACACACACACACACACACACACACAGCTATGGTGCAGGAGCTTACAGACTGTGCTGGGAGGAGCTTTTGGCTTCCTTAGAGAGGCTTGGGAGTGGGGCGGGGTAGACCCAGCAGGTAGCGTGCCAGGCCCCTCATCCCACAGCAATCAGAACAGAGTAGAACTGTTACATTTTAAATATACAGGCGTTCCTTATAAAGCTTCTCATTAAAGGTGTGTGTGTGGTGGGGGGAGGGAATTCTGCTGCTAAAATTAGATTTGAAAACGCCTGGAATGAGGGGAAGGAGCAGCAGGCTGTGTGGAGCCCTGGACCTGGGGTCAGAAGGCCCCCCACAGACCCTAACCAGCTGCGGGACCTTGGGCAAGGGATTTGCTTTTCTGGGCCTCAGTCTCCCAATCAGTAAAACCAGGCTGAGAGTGCCTAGATAGAAGTTGAAACTTGCAATTCTAAGATTCCAAATTAAGAAGCAAAACTTGAGCCTCTGGACAGCTTTTAGTTGGGTCACTCTCAAGGGAGGAATTGCTGCTGGAGAATACATATGTCTTTGCATCAGCTGGTCCTTGGGGGGCAGAACAGCCTACTGGCTTAAGGCACAGACTCTGAAGCCAGTAGACCTGGGTTTGAATCCCAGCATTAAAAATAGAGACAGCAGTACTTAATGCACACTCCTGTGAGAAGTGAAGATCCCATATGTGAAACATGCCTAGAACAAAGAAAACAAAAGGGCATGGTGTATCAGAAGAGCTTATTACTCCTTTTTTATCATCATCATTATTATCTGCACCTCCTTGGTGAGCCTGTTGGCTGCTGTATACACTCGCGGTGGGGGAAGGGAGGGTGATAAATGTGCCAGGCCGGGCCCGAGGGGGTGTGTCCTACTCAGAATTCTGCAGAGGGTTTGGGGAGACCAGGTGTTCCCTCGTCTAGATCCCTTTTAGGTTCCTCAGGCCCCTCTTTGAGTAGATCACTTTCCTCCACACTGTCCAAACACCCGAGCTCCACGTCCCGGGACCCCTGGCCACCCCTGCCTGGGCCTCTGACCTCCCGCTGGGCTCCCCTTCTTGTCGCCCCCTGCTCATACCAAACACCTTCCCTCTGCTTCTTCCCCCTGCACGCCCCCTGCCCACAGCTGCCGTCCTTCTGCCCCTGCCTGTTTGTGTCGTGCTCATTTCTCAAGCTCAAACCTAACCCCACGCCTTCAGAAAGCCGCCGCCTCCGGGCTGTGAGTTCCTATGGCACTTGTACAAACATCTCTCGTATGCCTGCATCCTGTCTCCCCGCTGCAGCGCGAGCTCCCTGGGAGTCCTGCTGAGGAGCACTGCACTAAAGGCCCAAAGGCTCAGTTCGAACCCAGCCGTGTGGCCTCAGCCTAGTCCCTTCATCTCAGTTTCCCCTGTGAAAAATGGGGCGGGTAATTTTTCTGCCGTTTGTGGATCGGACGGGGCCAGGTGGTTGTCAGAGATCAGGAGGATGGTGGTGTCTCTCTCTGTCCCCCTGTGGGGGGTGCCAGCACAGTGGCCTAAATCCAGCAGGTGCTCCACGCACACCTGCCTTGCTAGTCACAGGTCAGGGCAGCGGGACAGAAATGCCACTGGCGTGAGACAGGCAGCCAGGCAGGCTGCCTCAGACACGGCAGGAGGAGCCCTGCCTGGCCAGGGGAGGGGCTGGGAGCTGGTGGAGGAGGAGGGGCCCAGCGTCCCCGCCCCCAGCTCTGTCCCTGTGCTGCGTGTGGAGGCGTGGGAGCCTCAGGGTGCCGACAGCACCCCTCCAAGATCATTTGTTGACTGCACACTGAGTGTTCAGTAGTTACCCGGAAATTCCGTTCAATTCAAGCACGTAGGGCCAGCTGCTGGGTCCCCCGCACTGCAGAAGGGCACAGAGGGGGGTTGTGAACATTCGAGAGTCCATTTCTGCCACAGTCTTGTGCATCTCGGTGCTCCCAGGGTGCTTGCCAGTGCCAAGGAGGGAGGGTGGGATGGATGGATACGTGAAAGAAACTGGTTTTGCCCACAAGGAGTTTAGAATCAGAGAGATGAGAGTGGCATCTGAACTGAGGATACAGCACAAGACCGGGCCTAGCACATGCTGGACAGGGGGTCACGGGGGGCGCCCTGCCCGTGAGCTCTGTGGGGCTGGCCCTTGTCCCCACGCTGCGCCCAGAGCCCACTGCAGTGCTAGCACCCAGGAGGGGATCCGTGCGTATCTGGTGAGGGAGTGCGCACGTGTGAGAGACTGGACGGTTGAGAGCAGGAGGGAGAACAGGAAGGGAGGACATTCAGAAAAGTGACACTCTAGGCGGGCTCCTGTGTGCCAGGGTGATCTTTTCATCTTGCTGCCTTTGGATGAGTAGGAACTAAGAAGCAGAGGGACAGAGGAAGAGAAGGGGAATGCTCAGCAGGGGAGGCAAGGTAGCATCACAGCAGTGCAACCTGATGACAGACAGGTCTGGGTCTGAATTCCTGCTGCACCGCATGCCAGCTCGGCCAAGTCCATTGACCTCCTTAGACCCCCTTTGATGGCCAGGCAGGGAGGAGCTTAACGACTGCGGCCATTCAGTGAGTGCTCAGAAAGCATCTCGCACTGTATTAGGCACTTTATATGTATTATTTAATTAATGCTCACACATTTTACAGATAACGAAATTGAGGCACAGGGAAGTAAATGACTTGCTTAAGACTTTTGTATCAGTTATCAATTGCTGTGTAACAAACTACCTCAAAACTCAGTGGCTTAAAATGACCACATTGTATTTGCTCATGAGTCGGTGGGCCGAAATTTGGGCTGGTTCACCTGGGGCCCCTCACATGGCTGTAATTTTCTGGTCAAAAATTTTAAAAAAGAAAAAGAGCCCAAAGTGGACAAACCCCAATGTGCAAGCTCTTTTCAAACTTCTGCTTGTGTTGCATTTGCTAATATCCTTTTGGCCACAGCAAGTCTCACAGCCGAGCCCAGAGCATGGGATGGCAAAGTGAACTCCCCTCTCGGTGGCAGTTGCTGCAGAGTCACAACGTGAACGGCTGCGCCTGCAGCGATGCCAGGAGCAATTGCAGCCCTCTTTGCAAACGGTTCGCCCTGGCCGCCCAGCTGCTAAGGGCACCGCGTGCCCCACGTCCCAGGCCTCATCGCTCGGGATTCCATCTGAGCACTTTCTATAACAGTTTCCGTGCCTGGTTGTACAAGTCTGCACGGTCCTCCCCTGGCCCACAGTCATGACCGCAGAACCTGGGGAACAAGCGATACAGACAGAGGATTTTCCAGTAAGCCCCAGGTTTTTCCCTTTTAATGATCTATAAGAGAGGTGGTGGCAGTCTGTTCAGGGGGTACTACAGGGTGTGATGATGATGGAGCTAAGTACCAAAGGCCATCCATCACCTGCTCTAGGGAGAAGGCTTGTCTCCACATGGGGCCAGGAAGGATGCGGAGGAGACTGCAGGGCTGAGCATTTTATTCATTCATTTGTTCATTCATTCATTTATTTGTTCACTCAACAAGCCTTCCCTCTGCCCAGTCCTCATCACTTTGAGGTACTCTTTTCTCTAAAGCATGCTAGCACATGTGTGTGCACGTGCACACACACACACACACACACACACACACACCTCACTTCACCTGTTTTTCCCTGAACTCCCATCAGACTGACACAATATAGCCTTTGATCATATATTGCCCTGGGAGGAAAAAAGGGCAGAGGTTGAGAGTGTGGACCAGTGTGCCAGTCCTTCCAGAAGAGGTAAAACCAAACAAAACAACAAACAACCAAAAAACTCCACTCTGTTTTCACTGTTCAGCTAAAAATGTGTTCAGATTTTCACTGTATCTCTAGATCATGAAATGCATCTGTTGTATCAGCAACTGACAAACATCCAGCGTCACCCGCCACCCCAGATCCTCCTCTGTGCTTGGCACTCTGTTCCATGCTCTCCCAGGCATGGCTACAGGCCTGCCTTCCAGGCTGGGGCTGCAGGAGGGCCCTGTGACATTGTTCAGGGCCATGCAGAGAGGGACTGAGGATCGTCCCCGCCCAGCAGCAGCTGGTGGCCGATAGACGTTAATTGGCATGAACCGGCTCTGCCTTTACTTGCTCAAGTCTTAATTGGTGCGCTGGGCTCAGGGGCATGAAATCAACTCTGGGCCAACAGGCGAACCTTTGTAAAGGTGTCTCCCTCCCTCAGGGATGGGGGTGGTGGAGAGAACCTGAGACTGGGAGCCTAGGAACCTGGGTTCTGGTCCCAGCTCCACCCTGGGCTCACTGTGTATCTTTCCAGAATGACATTCAGGTACAACCCCCACAGTGTCACCTATCATTGGACCCTCTGTCATTTACTCAATATTTTTCTTTAAATTGACCCCTTCCGCTTTTTAACTCTCCTGGTCT